AAATATCATTTATATTAATATCATATATTTCCGTCACGGCTACCGGTACAAGATCTCAAGTTAAAAAATATAATAAAAAATTATTACCATATACCATTATTACTAATTCATCATCTCATATAATTGCAACAACTAATTCAATTGTTAATCAAACATTTAATACACATACAATGGCTGATCAAACATTATTAGCAAAAGCTCGAAAAGCTCGATTTGATGATTTACCAAATTTTTCAGGACATCCTTCTGAGGATGTCGAACGATTTTTAAAATGTATTAAAAATATTACAAAAGCCAATGCTGAATCAGAAAATAAAGAAATTCTTGAAATTGTACGTGGTAAATTAACCCAATCAGCAGGCTTATGGTTTGATAACAATGAACATAATTTTAAAAAATGGTCAGATTTCGAAGTTCAATTTCGAAATCGTTATTTTTCAACAACAATGATTCATAAAAAGTTTGATCAATTGAAGCAACGACAACAATTACATAATGAACCTGTTACTGCTTATATTGATGATGTCATTAATTTATGTCGTGAAATTGATCTAACTATGTCAGATTCAAGTATTATTCAACATCTGATGAGTGGTATTAATCCTGATTTTAAAAAAGAAATTTCTCGGCATGAATCATGTTTATATAACTTAAATGAATTTTTAAAATATGCCAAAATTGAACAAGATTTACATGATACATTTGATAAATCTCAACAATTATCATTCGAATATACACAACAAAATGTTTTAAATAATTATCGACCATTTACTTCAGTTACAACCACAGTTAAACAACCTAGACAACAATTTCAATTTATGAAACAAAACAAATTTTTATCACATACATTACCCACACAGAGCTCCGCTATTAATCGGAACTCGAACTATCAACCAGCCCTTCAATCAACATATGTACCTGACAAACAAATTTATACTAATTCACAAGAAAAGATATTCACGAATAAATATACTAATCATCCACCAGCCTCACAACAACAACATGATTATTGTAAAGTTTGTGGTCGAAGAAATCACCGATCGCATGATTGTTACTACAAACGTACAACCGGATGTTTTAATTGTGGTCAAAATCATCATATCCGAAGTTGTACAATGTCTCCACATTTTCAATAACTGGGTCACATGATGGCGGTGTTCCCAGTCAATGTATTCAGCCATCAACAACAACATCTTCTCCCGTTTATATCAAGATTCGTGTTAACAATCAACCAACTGAAGCAATTGTTGATACCGGTTCCGCCATCTCAATCATTCATTCAAATTTTCTTAAAACTATTCATCATGAACATTTTATTTATAACAATTATATATGTCAAACAGCAAATTCAACACCACTTAATATAATCGGTCAAATTAAATTAGAACTCAGACTTAAATCAACAACAACATACGTCATTGCTCATGTGGCAACAAATCTAATTACATCCGTATTATTAGGTAATGACTGGATTAATTCAAATCATGTTCATCTATTTGGTGATCAACAACAACTGACTATTCCTGATCAACATGATCAATTAATATCGATTTCATACGTAGCACCTACATCTATTAACTATCCAGCATTATTAATTGATCAAATTACTCTTCCACCATACTCACAAATATTAGTTGATATTTCATGTGAAATTAATAATGATCATAATCTGATATTTGAACCATATTCAAACTATGCCTCAAAATTTATTTTTATACCACATACATTATTAAATATCAACAATCATAAAGCTAAAATATTACTAATCAATGCTCAGAATCAACAAACAATATTACCAAGAAATACACGAATCGGAACTCTTTCTCGTCCCTCAACTT